AAGTACCTAGAATAGTCAAATTCAGAGAGACAGAAGGTGGAAGGTGGTTGCCGGTGGGGCAGGGGGGTGGGGGGGAGATGGGGGGTTAATGTTTAACAGGGAGAGAGTTTCAGTTCAGGAAGATGAAAAGAACTGCGGAGACGGATGGTGGTTTGGGTTGCACAAGAGCGTAGATGTACAGGGGAGGCCAGAAGACCCCCGGCACCCAAGGACGTCAACCTCTCTCCCTCCAAATGACAACTCTGGCCAGATCCGGGAGCTTCCCCGATGCTCTGACACACTGATTTTTTAAATAACAGTAATAATCCATCAACTTGCCCAGGATGATTGATGTACAGTCTAATCTGATTAATATTTGGTAAACGAAGTGCTTTTCAGGGAAATGGCAGGCATGACCTCCCAACAGTCTTGACTTCACAAATTCAAGGATTTTCTGAGTTGCCCTCCGTATTCTACATTCCAGGAATCAAAGTAAGGACAGACAATAAAAAGGGGGAAGGGGAGAATAAGAAGGCCCTAACGAGAACGTTCAGGGAAGGAGGAGAAAGATGCCCTTGCTGGTTACCTAGGAAATCAGGGAAGGACTGCATGCTATTGGCTGGCTCTGGAGGAGAATTTCAAGAGGCAAAGAGCACCTGGCAACAACAGGGTGTGTATGAGCTGAGGATATTGGGGAATCTCTTTCTTTGTTTTGTTGTTTTCCTTGACCGAACAGCATGAGATTGAATTTAGAATGTTTTTTTCTGGTTAGTTCCTTATACTAGTTAAGCCCATTTGAAAAGGTGGCACTCCCACATCTCTACAACGGCGGGCCAGCCTCCTAATCCTTCTCCTCCCTCCCTTCCTGCTGTCCCCCCACCACACACACATGCTCACCCACTCACCCACCTCACTAATTCGTTATACAAATGAACAGAACCGGGCTTCACAGAAACTCGCAATAGGGGGTGGGGGGAGGGGCGCCCAAGCACACACATCCCATCCAAGCTCCTCACTCTGCTCTCCACCTTGGCCAGGATGCCTGTTCAGTGCTCGTGGGTCACATGGTTGAGTGCTGAGACAGTGATGTTCTCATTTCTGACAACCTGAGGCCTGGGCATTGTGAAGCCCCCGCCATCGGAGAAGCAATGACTAGCCCAGGGTCACAGAGCTGCTCAGGAGCAGCCCCTCCAGGGTCTAGGATTCAGACCCCAACCTCCCAATGGCTAATCCACAGCTCGTCCCAATCAGGAAACTCTGCCAGCCGCGGGGTTGGCTCTGGCTTTGCAAGAGGAGCCAGAAATGATGCCAGGGTTCCATTTCATTTCAGGGGAGACTTCAAAAAAAAAAAGGCAAAGCTGGGGTTCCCAACTTCTGGGCACCCCTCAACTCCCAGCTGACCTGGCAGGTTCAAAGTCAGTGTTGACCTCTTCACTCTGTGTCCTTGCTGGGATTCAAGCAAAGAGTAGGTTTTCAATCTGAGGACATGAAATTGGTGCCTACTTTTTCCATAGGCAAAAACCAAAAACTAAACCTTATTTTTCAAATGGAGAAGTGCAAACAATTCATTCTTTTGTCCTAGGTCTGTTTATTAAGTTACTGCTCCGAGTGACTCCAAAAAGAGACAACTGTCCTTTCAGAGTGACATGCATCAAGTGAACACTTCCTTGGCCATGGGCACTAGGGTACCCCTCTTTTTCCTTTTAGTGTGCAATTTCTGCAAATTTAGGGGCCCTGTGATTTTCTTGGTTTCAGAATGAGTCACTCATCAGTTGGGACCTGCAGCCGAGTGGAGGGTCCAGAGGTACACATTCATTTCACACTACTTCCTTGTCTGGGCTTAAATGTGGAGGAGGTATGAATTCCGGGTGCATTTGTAGAAAAAGAACATGTTAATGCCACATTTAAATCAGGTCATGGCAAAATTGTGACTTGTGGCCACATGCCTTTTTATGCCTGTGTTTTCTGCCACCTGGTTGAGGCAAGATTTCCCCACTAGCGTGGGGATGGTGGGGTTTGCAGGGGGGAGTCGGTGCCAGCATCTCTTCACTCAACAGTCACCCGTGCCTGTCTGTTATCAGCAGGATGTCAACAAGCCTCTAGATCCAGGGACAGGGCAAGAAGCCTGCTAGAGAAAAAATAATCTGGAAGGGAGAAGAGCCACACAGCCACCTCCAAAGAGCTTGCTGCACAGAAATAGTGCAGCTTTCTCGGGGAGCATCTGCTGCTTCCACGGGCTCAGCATCCGTGCCCCTTTCTTCTGATGTTTTTTTACTGAGGGAATCATCATCATAGGATCAACAAGTGACCCAGGCCTGGCCAGTCGGCACAGAACACCCCTCTTACAGCAGTGGGCGAGCCAGGCCCATCACTGTCACGGAGCATCGACCCCCAGACTAGAGCTGCAGCTGATGGGAAGGAGCAGCTCCTTCTCCACTCGGTGGTAAGTTGGCAGGATGAGAGCCTGGCGCTGCCGATGGTCATCTACACCCAGAGCCGTCCCTGCCCAAGCCTTTCAGCGACGTGAACAATAATCACCCTTTTAAAGCCAGTCTGAGTAGATTTTCTAACTCATGACCACAAGAATCCTAACATATATTCATTAAAAAAAAAAAAAAGCACATGAATTACATTTTTTATCCTCAATTTTCAGACAAGGAAACTGAGGTACAGAACTTGGGGAGACCGCTCAAGGCTCACAATAAACCCAGACATGACTGCAAGGCCAGTATCCCATCTCTTAGCTCCTCCCACATTGACACTGTGGTCTGACACCCTTCCAAGTCATGGGAGCTAACAGCTGCCCGGTTTCACCCAAACACAGTCTAAGGAGAGAACACCCACCAGCCGCACCTTAAATCTGAGAACAACAAAGAGATCAAATACAACATTCACAAAGCCCCATCCACCTGAAAGCTGCCGCTGCCCAGTTAGATGTCTCTTTGCTGGTCAGGCCTGTGAGAGCTGTATTTATTTAGGTTGAGCCGGGTGGGAAGATGACAGGTCCATGATATTTTGGAATGACTACTGTGTGTTCGAGAAAACAGGAGGGCACCAAAATGTCAAGGGGGGTTGCTGAGAGTCATGTTCAACTAAGCTCTAACATCAGCATCAAATGTCCAAGCAAAACCTCCGGGCGAGGTCCCCGGGGTCCTGTCTGGTACAACCTGGCCGAGTGAGCACCCAGAACACAGGTTTTTGGAGGCTGGTGCACGTTTCTCCCCTTGCCCCCGGCACAGGACAGGCAGGCTCGGCATCTGGGGAGTCATCACCCCAATCCCAACAGTGAACTGGGATGGCAGCATGGCTGAGGCACAGAAGCCCCACACGCCAGGACCGGGCCGCTGGGCTGACTCACTTAACTGTGTGATTGCGGCCAAGCCTGCCCTGTCCACACCAGGGTTAGTCATGGCCAGGCCTGGGTTAAGAGCAGCCCTTAAAAGGATTGGAATGAAAGAGGTAGCATCTTTCCAAAACAAAATCGACAAGAACACAGCATTCAAAATGGGGCGAAATCCTCCTGCTTTCTCCCTAGTGTGGCCACAGGACAACTAAACCCCAGGGTTTACACAGTTTTCTCCTGTGTTTAAAAAAAAAAAGAAAGAAAGAAAAAAGACGCAAATAAGCCAACTAAGATAGCTTGCTTACCTTGCATTTGCCCCTCACCTCCCCACCAAAGTCATACTTGTTGGCATCCGTGTCCTGAGCCAAACAGGAATTCCTATGTCAAAATGCTTCCTGTGCACTTTGAACAGAAATAAAAGCATGCTGGGGATCTCAGCCTTAAAAAGAGGGCCGGGTGGCACCAGAGAGATGCTTTGGTTATACCTATCAAAATGGGATCATGGCATTCCCTGAGAACTGCCAAGAAAATCAGAATGGGGCCAGCAGGGTGGGGACAGGGCGGGTTTTGGCTCCATAATCGCAGCAAACTCCCCAAAACAAAGGAGTTCCCGGTCACTGATTTACGGAGCTACTCCATTTCCCAGCTTCAGACCCCCCGGAATAGGGACTCACACAGTCCAGACCGATGGGCCAGCAACAGCTGCTGGCCTTGGAGGATTCACTACCAGCCCCACACCCAGGAGGACAACCCACAGCGGGAGCTGAGGACAGCCCGAGTCTGTCCCACGAGCTGTGGTGGGAGCTCAGGCCCAGCAAGCAGAGCCCCCATCCCACTTCTACCCCATCTGCTGCTCCACCCCGGGTGCCCGGGGCCGTGGCCAGACACCCCATCTGTGTGGCTGTGCGCCCAGCCCCGAAACAAGAGCCTGCACAGCTGAAGCTTGCCTAATTCCGGAGCAGACACTGCTCTCCAGATCGAGAAGGTATCAGCATCTAAGCCAGAGGAAGGTGGAAATTAAACCAGAATCATCCCCAACACAAACCAAAAAGAGGAATGAATGATTCTGCTTTTTGAGCACATGTGCACCAAACCCTGGTGTACCTCACTCTTAGACAGATTTGGACAAATCTTAATGTAAGAATCTAGGGGATTATATTTGACTGTTTGCTTCCAAAAAACATAATCGTATTAAAGGTATATAATCTCATTCAATGCAGGTTTTCTCCCTGCAGTGCACTGGGAGTAATGACTCGTGTCATTAATCAGCATCGCAGGTGACGGGGACTAACAGAACTGCAATAAACATGGGGAGGGCAGTAACGCAGCAGATGCTTACGACACAGGCCAGGCACTGCTCCGAGCATGGTACACGTACTAACTCATTTAATTCTCGTAATGACAAAGTAACTACCATCTGCTAGCTTCTGTTTACTGATGGGGAAACCGAGGCACGGGGTTTCGAGTAAAGAAGCCTGCTCTGGGTCACCCGTGCAATGTAGGCAGGCCTTGCAGTGGACCTGCCCACAGCTGCCTGCAAAGGGCTGGGCCCACAGAGTGAGGTACACCGGCATCGGGAATGGACAGACGCGCCCACGGACACACAACGGGGACCAGACACAAGGGACAGCCTGGCTCGTGGCACAGGCAGCAGGGTGGCGTTCACGGGCGCACTCACCTTCACTCTCCCCACTCGTCCTGATGCCTTTTGAACCACCCTCAGTACCTTTAGTCTTCTCAGCGTCTTCCTGGGTGTCCTCGGCGGGCCCCTTCTCCTCCTCGTCTTCCTCCCCAACGTTTTTGTAGTTGGGTCTCTTCTGCACCCGCCTCTTGCCCTTGTGCTTGTTCATCTCAAGGGAGCGCTCTAGCGTCTCGGTGGGCTTAATGAAGCACCGAATGCTGGGCTTGGCCTAGGGAAGTCAACACACGGATTGGAACCTTGGAATCTCGCTGGATGCCATCATCAAGCTGCCTGAGAGTTGCTGCCCCAAGGAATTCTATTTCCGAAACAAAAAAAAGGCTACCTCCTACTTTGTCATCAGGACTGTGACTAACACCACTGTTGTTAAGTCATCAAAACATTAGCACCAGCTACCATTTATTGCCCACCGCCCTAAGTCGGAAACTGTACTTTACCAACACCAGCCCTGTGCTTCCCAAAGGCCCCTCGCTTGTCTAGGAAACACACTTCTGGTTAACACGTTTAGGGTACTTTGCATGTGCCAGATGCACTCTAAGGGCTCTGACTGTACTAGCCTACTTGAACTTGACAACAGCCCCATGAGGTCATCCTGTTGTTTCCCTCCCTTTACAGATGATAAAACTGAGGCTCAGAGGTGGTAAGGACACATCCAAGGTCAAAGAGCCAGGGGGCAGCAGAGCTGGGATTCAAACCCACATACCATCCGCCCAATTTAGGTCTTAAGTACAGCATGCGGGTGTTATTGACTTTTTAAAGATTTTATTTATTTGAGGGATGCCTGGGTGGCTCAGTTGGTTAAGCAGCTGACTTTGGCTCAGGTCATCATCCCAGGGTCCTGGGACCGAGCCCCACGTCCAGCTCCCTGCTCAGCGGAGAGCCTGCTTCTCCCTCTCCCTCTGCCTGCCATTGTGCTCTCTGTCAAACAAATACATAAAATCTTTAAAAAAGAAAAAAAGATTTTATTTATTTGAGAGAGAGCGAGAGAGCACACCAGCAGGGGGTGGGGAGAGGGAGAGGGAGAAGCAGGCTCGCCGCTGAGCAGGGAGCCCAAGGCAGGGCTTGATCCCAGGACCCCGAAACTATGACCTGAGCCAAAGGCAGCCCCTTAATTGACTGAGCCACCCAAGCACTCCTAACTTCTACTTTAAATATATTTACTTTAAAAGAAGCTGTATACTGGGGCGCCTGGGTGGCTCAGTCGTTGAGCGTCTGCCTTCAGCTCGGGTCATGATCCCAGGGTCCTGGGACTGAGCTCTGCATCGGGCTCCCTGATCGGCGGGAAGCCTGCTTCTCCCTCTCCCACTCCCCCTGCTTGTGTACCTTCTCTCACTGTCTCTCTCTCTGTCAAATAAATAAATAAAATCTTTAAAAAAAATAAAAATAAAATAAAAAATAAAAAGCTGTATACTGCTACAGTGCATGAAAAACCAGTGTATCTTGCTGTTGTAAAAGTAACAGAAAAGAAAAAGCAAGGTGTACTGGATGCAGCCAAATGCTGGCTCTTTAGAAAGGGGGCTTGGCAAGTACCAGCAGGAAGTTAAAGCTCATCCCCAAAGGAAGCTGGCCCCAAACAAAGACGCTCTTCCCCGAGAAGTCAGGAGGCTTTCTAAGAGAAATGAAAGAGGCCTATGTGCTGCGAGTGGCTCATGCCCCGTCCTGTGGGAAACACACAGTTGTATCTCAGTCCAGGTAATAAAAAAGAGGTAGACAGATTGCCACTCCCATTTCATAGATAAGAAAACAGAGGCTCCGAAGGACAAAGTGACGTGCCCGATGTCACACAGCTCCTGAGCCAAGAGTCAGACTTGGAACTGAAGCCTGCCCAATCCCAAAGCCCAAGGTCCTCCTGAAATAAGGGTGCTTCATCAGGAGCTCAAACTCTGTTCCAGGCTCAGTACCCTTTAAAAAGTGTTTACATGCAAATGGACCGGGTCTAGCAAGGAAAAAAGACAAAAGAAAACTGGTCTGTTTGGGGCAGGATTCTGACTGAATTATTTTTCTCTTTTCAGGGCCTGGATGATATCCAGACATCATTTTGTCATTAAAAAAGAAAAAAGTTTTAAAGAAAACGTTTCCATTATCTTGATATGGTTTATCCATCTTCTGAATTTACCCCCAACCAACCACCAACTGTACTCTAGGGGCCACCGTACCTTGCCAATAAGTGGAATGTGCTCAAGAAGCACAGATTAATTTCAATAATGCTCAAAACAAAACCTAATTGGAAGCTAAATTAGCATCCAAATCCACACATTAATTTTTATTTACTCACTTTGGATTATTCATCCACAAAAATGACAGATAAATTGAGATAGGATTCTACTGCCCAGGAAACCCAGATAGTGCATTACAGACGCCAACGACGGGGAGCCCAGAAATGGGAGCCCCCGAGCGTGCACCACTTGAGAGACAGCATCCATCGGAGCCCACTTAGGATGCTGTGTGATAGAACACAGCCCTGGACAGCCCCCACATCTTCTGCTGAAGGACTCAAACCCAGGAAATTAGGGTCCCAAGATAAAGTCACTGCTTCCTCTGATCACATACTCCCAGTGAATCTTAGAGTATGCCATATGCAATTAAAGCTTTCTGAAACAGAAAACCGAGACTAAATGCAGAGCAAAACATCACCCGGTTAGAAGGTCTAAGCAAAAATTCACGGGGATGGGTGTAGAAACCTCTCCCCGAGGAGCTCTTTATGAACTCGGATGTACAGAAGTGGCAGAACAAAGGGAAGCGAAACAATGTGTGAGTCCCAGGGCTGCTCAGAGCAGTCCGATCCCCAGCTGAACCCTGCCATGAGCTGTGGGTCCTCTCTGAGCATCAGAGTCCTTGTCTAAAACACAGGGCAGATAATTCCGGCCTCCTAGAACTACACGTAAGCATGGATGTAAAAGTTCTTTCAGTAAGCATTCAACATAGGGGAGTCACCTTCCTCTCCCTGCCGCCTTAAAAAAAAAAAAAAGGTAAGAGTCAACTGTGAAAATAAATTTAAAAACTTTCCAAAGGGATCTGCTTTTCTCGACGGTCAGGTGTTGGGAGGACATGTTTACTGGGGAAATTTCAAACCTTTAAAATGCAACCTACCCAGTGAACAGCTGGAAATAACCTAAATGTCCATCAAGACGGGAGTGGTTAGGTAATTACAGTCTGTCCACAGAATGGGAATCCACGTACATGTTAAAGAGACCCAGGTCTTTCTGTACCTACGTGCGCGGATTCAGAACGGGTACCAGGGTGGAAAAGCAAGAGCGGGGAGCTCAAAAGGGGCCCCTGCAGGTAAAGCTTTTCAAAGGCTACACGCGATGCTGTGAACCGCTTTTCCTGGAAAGTGGCCTACAGATATCTCAGGATTATATCTCTGGGGGATAAAGAAGGCAGGTGGTTCTGTGTGTGCACATGCACACAAGCATGCTTACATTTTTTCATTTCTAGACCTTTCTGTTTGGTTTGAAATGTCTAATCCTGTATACACGTTAACTTAAAAAAAAAATCATCAGGAATCATTTAGCATTAGAATTTTAGACTTTATTTTTCCTTTTTTTTTTTTCTCTTTTATATTCAAAAGCCTGGTTGTGCTTTTCTTAAGGCTAATAGCATCAAAACCCCGCAGTTACCATGGAGAAGCTGACAGGGTCTGGCTGGGATACGTGGACAGAGATTCATGATTGTTCCTACTGCCCCCATCAAGAGCCTCCTGGCTGCCGGCCTCCCAGGAATGTGTGTGTGACAGTGGACAATCCCAGGTGTTCCAAATGGAAAGCCCCCAAGAGAAGGTCCCATCCACCTTACACCGCCCCCCCCCCCCAATTCTCTCAACACAAAACCAGGTGCCTGGAGAAGGGCAAGGCCTCAGTGGGCTGCTGCTGAGTGAATTCATGGCTGCCTGTACCCATACCATACCCAAAGTGAGAGAGAGAACAACAAAGAAGCAAAGTGAGGGACAGAAGAAAACAGGAGTCTGACAGCCTCGGGAGATTAACTTTAGCATAGGGCAAGAGCAAGCACGGTGAAACTAATAACCAAAAGGGGAAAAGCTCACTTCAGAGTCAAAAATCAGGCCTTTGGGTTTATCTTCTCATAAAGTGAGCCCACCATGCATGTCCCAGACTAAAGTATTCCACAAATCAGGTCTATGATTCCCAAATGCTGCAAGTTCGGGTTTTGCCAAGGGCTCATCTCCCAGGGACCTGGAGCCTGAGCTGCAAGAGGAGCGTGGAGATATGGGGCCTTCCTTGCTGCCAGCAGAGATTCTGCCAGTTATCCAACCAGGGGATGTAGAGGGAGAGCCCTGGATTCTAGGGCTGGCCATCTAGGCTGGCTTCTGGGGTCAGAGCCAGCAGCAGGCCAGCAGTGTGATTTTAGGGGTGGCCCAAGGGCCGAACTGCTCCCTAAAGCCTGCTGGTTAACAACACCTTATCTAGTCTCCACCCCTCCACCCTAAGGCTTCCATCCTTGTTTAAAAGGTAAATACTCCAGGGGCGCCTGGGTGGCTCAGTCATTAAGCATCTGCCTTCGGCTCGGGTCATGATCCCGGGGTCCTGGGATTGAGCCCCCCAAAATAAAAGGTAAATACTCCAGAAGCTGACTCCCCATGGGTCGGCAGTAACTAAAAGGCCTTTTGGGGCTGCGGAATTTGAGAGCCGGCTCTGCATGGACAGGGAGAGGGGTGTCGAGCCAGGGGTCAGGAGGGAGGACACAAACACCTAAGGCCCAGGCGCTGGACTCAGGAGAAGCAGCAGTACCGCCAATGCCCCAGGCATCAAACAGAACGCCCTCCATTAGGTCTGGGGGCAGCCCCCTAGGAAGGCCACATGCAGATGGCACATGAAAAAGCAAGCTGCAATCCAGCAACCCGTCCAGAATTCCGTTTACAATTAAAAAACAAAAATTATCAATTCAAACATGTCCATCTGTATTGTATTTTCCTGTGTGGAGAGATCTGTGCACAGCAGTGCACACAGCAAGATCTGGAAGGTGACACACGCTCCGAACAGGGGTCCCTTCTGAAGACAGTGAGGCTGGGGCAACTTTCACTTTCTCTTCTAGTTGTTTCTGTGTCATCCAGTCATTGTGCCTTGGCCAAGAAAGTATTACCAACACCATTTAAATGTAAAGAGTACTTTTAAAGAAAGTACCTGATGCCACTGAACTCTATGCTTAAAAATAGGTAATCCATTACTTTTATATGTATTTCACAATTTTTTT